TAATCATTTATATAACAATTTAATCATTTATCTAATCTTAATACCGTTATCTAAATAGTTAAACTGTGAATTTTTTTACTGTCAGGCAGCACATTTCCTAGTTGATGTTTTCTGAAACTCATGAAAGCTTCATTACTCTAAATATTTATTCGAAGGCAGAATGTAATGGATGAATTCCGCAAGATTGTAATTTTCACATCAATACACTGTTGAGAGGTCGAGCTTGAAACTCAGTTGATGAAACTTTATTTTTGTTGATCCCCATTCCTATTCGTAATTAGAGAAGACTCTTGCTTGTCAGACCATGTTAATTGTTAACGAGTAAAAGCGTTTGTTGATAAAGATATAAGATATGTTACTTTACCCAATTACCGTGCATCACGTGACATTTATTTATATTATAAGGAGTAACGATTGGATTTACCGACCAATTATCCAACCAAGTAAGTAATAAGTTCACTCATAAGTTATCAAGGTTTGATATGGCGACGTTCGTGTCCCTTATGATATCATTTGCATATCAAGCAGTCGCCAGTCTTCTTCCCCTAATGAAGGTTATGGGTAATTTCTTAAATATCCTATGCATTGTGGTTGTTTCCATGATTTTGTTCATATTTTTGTGCAGAGCTGTATCAGTATAATTGGTCTGTATATATATAAATATATGATATGTTACTGACTACAGTGACTGTTAACCTCGCATGAAGCTTGAAGGGGCGCTTATTTCCCGTCTCGATGTTACTGACTACAGTTACTGTTAACCTCGCATGAAGCTTGAAGGGGCGCTTATTTCCCGTCTCGATGTTACTGACTACAGTTACTTTTAACCTCGCATCAAGCTTGAAGGGGCGCTTATTTCCCGTCTCGATGGCAAATCTCTCAACTTCAGCCTATTGCATATTGTTTTCCTCAAATACACGATAAGCTTGGCTGTTTGGATGTTCTGAATATTTGCTGCTATTTTTTCCTTTTCACCCTTTTGAAAAAAGGCAATAGTGAAAGGTTACGAATGGAGGTTTTTGCAGAAAAACGTGGATTTTGGAGAACGAGATAGGTGGGTTTAAATATGTCGTGTGTTCGTTCGTTACCATGCAACGAAAAAGTTGGGCGCGCGCGAGGATTGCTTGCGGAGATGTGATGTATAGATAGCCTGTGATCTATGAATGCGCGGCGCGACTGTGTATATGATGCATGTAATGTATAATATTACTATTAGGTAATACACCCAATTTGTACGTGGCACGCGTAGTGTATTGATGTGTACACGAGTATAGTTTACCTTTGCTGATAATTTCTTGAATTACAGATACAAGTTAAGTTCTACGGCAATTGAACTGAATTTCAAGTGTTTCCCGTATTTGATGCATAATTGATCAATATTATTATCATGAAGATTGAAGTGAGCTGATTGGAGCTTATAGTTATACTTAAATTTATAGTAAATGTGAAATGGAAATCTAGCGTCCGCCAAAACGAAACAACGGGCGCAATTCTTGTTAGTTTATCAACACGTATGTTTCCAAAACATCCGAACTATTGAACGTGTTATCTATCTACTGTTAGTTACCTGTCACATTGCCATAGATTTAATCAAATAAACTTGCTATAATTTCTAATTCCTCCACTCAAGCAATCGGAAGCTCCTTTTTTTGCTAAATTTTTCAAAATAATTATCGGCAAAACTCCCAAAAAAACATTATTACCGCCCGGTGGGAAGTAGCCGGGTTGTGATGTGGTTTTACACCAACGGTCAACGAACTGTCACGGGGGGGCTATATTTGTACTTTCTCATTTGTACTTGGCGCTGTTGCCCGCGATTTACTTTTCTGAATTAAATCTAATTTTGGGTTGACAGATGTTCACACGTCGATTTAAGTCGGGAGCTTGGCGGATTTTGAGTTCACTTTTATTTATATTACATCCTGAACCGATTACGTATATGCCATATGTTATGTACTACCATAATTGCCCCTGCAACCTCATGACATTCATGCAGGCACTTGTGCAATGTGTTGGCTTCCGATATTCCACTAATTTTCACCTGTCGTTTCTTTCCCAAACCTATCAAATAGGACACTAAATTATTTAATGGTTATGAAATACAATGTCTTTAACCACGGCTACTGATTACAAAGTCAGATTTAACCGCTTAAACATCGTGATCTTATACATTTATGGTCTCTAAGATCCATCTGTGGAAGATGCGATTATTGATGATTTTGTTTTTAACTGTACAGTTAGACGGAGAAATATTATCTACAATTATAAACTCTTTTATTCAAGTTGTTTGTATTTTTCAAGATGGAACATATTGTGTTAACAAAGAATTAAATGAAGAGCCCAAAACCTTTTATTCTTTCGATGATGGCGTCTCTTCTGTATTTAACGGGATAATCGTTTTTCCAAGGATCATACAAGTTTTAACATTTATTTTACTATTTAATTTGTATCAAGTCCTGTCTGTTTGTACTGAGTTTGGATGCAACATCTACCCCTTATCCACCAACTACAAGTATACATGCCCACGGACTGCAGCGGTACAGTCCGGTAATCTGGCAGTTTCTCTCTGTTGTAATACCCGTGTCACCCAGATACCCGCGCTCTGCTGCTCTGAACTGTGCTTTCAACTGTGTGCCTAAGGACTCCGAGATGACTCCTTCATAAATACCGCAATTAATGCCATCCACCTATTATCCACTTACTTACCGTGAAGTCAGTAAAAATACTTATAGTAAGAGCACTTACTGTGGAGCAGTGCGTTATATTGGATCTGCTTTCCGTGTCCCCCCAGTTATATTAACAGGACAACATCCGTCTCCTTTATAGGACCAAACCAACAACATTCTTAGCACGCTGACCATTCCTAAACTAGGTATAATAATATTCAAAACATAATCCCTCCAGAGTTACCAACTTACCCACTTACCCACTGACGTTCAGTTAGGACGTTAAGTTCTGAATTCCTACTTCTGCAATCCTAGGTTCTGTACAGGAGAGGGTCGAGTAGAATTCTAAAGAATTCCATCCAACAAACGATGAGAAAGAGTTTCTGATGATGCGACTGGAGCCAAGGGAAACGTTTGTGCCTGATAATGTAGATGATAATGTGCTGGAGAGAAAATAAGAACACCATTTATCTAAGCTGTGTTGACTTTAATAAAGTCACGCGAAGTGTTGCATAATAATACAAAGTCGGTCACCGTCTTTAAATCTAATTTAGACGTGTCCTGAATGATGAATAACATGCGCTAATCTCAACTTAACAGTACACAAAATCATTTCCGTAAATAACGACTGGATTCTGATGGTTAATTGTTTGAATAAACGCAATTACGGTTTAACAGATCGAACAACTCATCAATTATACTAGTACATCTAATGAACTCATCATCGTTAAATTTGGTATCAAGAAAAGTATTTGCTTGGTTAAACGTCGTCCACTAATCGTTACCCTATCCATTGTTTGCTTAGTTACGCTACATTATTATCATAATTATCTATAATCCTGGACACATCAATAATCATTTAAGAGAGATCTAGCTATTGTATTTAATTACCTTAATTATGTTCTCTGTATGTCGACCTGGGTGACTCCTCAAATCAGATCAGGGCACAGTATATAAATTAGTCGGCAACGTTGGTTGAGCGGAGACTGATCTGCACAGATATTGCATCATTTATGTTTCATCTTTAGAATCTTTAGGATCGTTTTACAAGATCAGACAACCAATGATGCTAAAGATTGATACTTCATGTCTGCCATTTGATAGTTTGCTTCAGGTTATACCAAGATATAGAATAAAATTGTCGTTTGATAATGATATTCAAAGTCGTCCGAAGCGGGTATCTCTGCCTCTCAATATTTTAGGCGACTAAAAATATGAACTCTTCTACGTTTTCAGCGTTTTCAAACATGAACATAATCGGTAATCTAATGGCAGTTGGCCTGATTTACGACCCTCGTTGCTTTGAACTTTCCTATACCGCTTTAATTTGTTGACGGCAGAAGACTTGGGATCTCCTAACCGTTTAGCGTAAGTTTGATCGAGCACTGTTTGATCGAGCACTTTGTCATTTAATTATGTTTATATGATCCCTGAATTCTAGAACATTCGCTTTTCGACTCATGCTCAGTAAAACTCGTTGTTCACTCCAAAATGCCGGAGTTCTTCTATTCGTGAGTGCACATTGTGTACTGTTATTTTTAGTGTCAATAATTTTATTGTTCTCCTTAAATTCCTTGCCGTCTATAAGTTTATTTGGATAAAGCCGAACAGATTCATGAAGAAAATTAATATGATTATTGGTTTTAGTGCATGCTTTTCGCGCTAAAACAGCTGTTGACATATTTGAATATTTTGGGTGAAACCATACAGTTTTTCTGGCTGGTCTGTTTTTTATATAACTAATTCATCCAGGTGAAAAAATTTTAGAAAATTTTCACTAATCCTGTCTGCTGTTATATTGCTTCAAAACAGACAAGAAAACTAGACTCTATCCAGTTTCTGAATGCTGTCCAACATTTTGTCGTGTGTCAACTGCCAAACATATGTGAAACGACAATACGCCTTTCCAATGTCTAAAACTGTTTACATATTTATTCGGCTGTGTGCTGGTGCAGTGTTCACAATCAATAGATCATATCCCTAATCCTTGGATTATATTTTGTAACTTGCTTACTGTTTCAAGCTCGCGCCATCCCTCAATGCATATTGACCAGTGTCACTGAAACTATAATTTACTAAAAAGTTGTTGATTTTGCTAATTATAATCCAGGGCGAATTTGTAATATCTGTACATTTTTGGGTCACCTCATCCCATGGAGAGTCGCTTCTTCGAGTTTTTCTTTTCATAAAACTGATGAGTTACAGTTACACATGATTGGTAACTTGGTAATTATGGAAAAATATTCAATTTTAATGACTTTTATAACCGTTATTTATCATTGTCTTTAAACCACACTGGCATTGCTTTCTCCTAATTTTGATCACCTCTCGTTCAGGTGAAATCCCCGTGAAATGATAAAATGGCCTATGCAGATTAATGACTGATAGCCACACCTGGCAATGGACTATGTTGCACAGATATCGACAGCTCCTTCTTCTTCTACTCGTCCTGGTACTTCTACTTCCCACACCCACCCTATCTAACACAGATGTGAGTCATCGACTCTTCAGTTACTTCCGTACGTACATTGACGCGGACCTTATTGCTCGGTTGTACGAGAAACACACGTATAGGACAGAGATAGACACCCACAAACTGGGAGACCACGTGGGGGTTACAACCGGTAAAGAGTTTAATGATGCCTTCACGGCCCTCAAAAACATCCAGAAGAGGACCATCAAGGAGTACAAGAGCCACAAGTGGGACAAGGACCTGACCTATAATTATTGGGACGGTTTCACGCACCCCTTGACATCAAACAACGGAAGTGTATTGCATCTGGAGCATAACGAGCGCTACATGGCAAGTGTTAGCATGACAGAATCAGCCATAAACCTACCTCTAGATGTGTATGATAACTGGACTGAGGTCAGGAACACAATCCAATGGACATCCGGCCTGGACAAAGCATTCATTCAGAACAACGACAAAAAAGCGGATAACATATTCTGGCAGTACATAGGAACCCCCCAAGGTGTCATGAGAACCTACCCCGCTACATACATCCCTGCCAAGGATCAGATAGATTTTGATGTGCGGAGGAGGCCCTGGTACAATGCTGGTATAGGGTGCCCTAAAGATGTTATCCTTCTTATGGATACGAGCGGGAGTTTGGAGGGTTTTCCTACCAGGCTGCTGAAAAATACTGCCGTTAAGTTCCTCAATGAGATTATATCTGATACTGACTTTGTCACTGCTATCGACGTTGGGTATGAAGGTAAGTTGATTTATGTTTTGACTATGGATTAATATTTAACGTTTGTTGGGTCAACTTTAATATGAGAAATTACAGCCATAGAAGATGATAATCAGATTGTGCAAGTTTTTTCCTCCGCGTGTTGAAATAAACATAAATCACATCATTTGTCCTAGAAATTACCCACCTCTATGTTTCTCAAAATTAAAATATTTCAGCCAAATTCCTGACGTGTTACTACCACCTGACCCGAGCGAACAAGATTGTCAAGAAAACCTTGATTGATGCTATTAAAGACATTCAGCCTAACGGAACCAGCAACTGGGAAGCAGGCTTTAATCTAGCTTTCGAAACATTCGAAAAGAGCAGGATGATAAACCAATCTGCTTATTGTGAGAAAGCCATCGTTCTCTTTACGGACGAGACAGGGCAACCTGTTGATGTAAGTTTGAAATTGAAAAAAGTAAAAACAAATTCTATTCATAATTTAAATTTTTACTGTAATCTACGCTCCAATCCAACTAGCTACCGGATACACTTTAATTTACTATCGAATCTAATATGCGTTTTATCTAATTGTGGCAATGTGAATGCGATACAAAAATTTCTCAGAGCTAATTTGACGGAAGCCCCATTTCAGGAGATAGTAGCAAAGTTGAACACGCAGAAACACGTGCGAATATTTGTGTTCTCGTTCCGTAAAAACGAGGGAATGTACAATGACCGACTGAAGGGCTTGGCATGTTCTAATCGGGGCTACTATTCCAAGATCCTTTACTTCGGGCAGATTGAGGCTGCTTTGCAGAGACTCGTCCAGGTTTGTTCATTTAGCTGAATATTTTAATGTTTTAGAACTAAGTCAAGTGTCAAAATATGTTTTTTGGAATTTAATGGTTAATTATTGAATGTTATAAAACTTAGTCGAGCGTCAAAATATTTTTCATTTTATTTTAAGGGATGTAGCACCATTATACCTCATAGATACACTTTACAAAACCGATTTCTCATTCCCACATTCCACATGTGACGTCCCCACTTACGTCTGTAAAGTGTACAATGTTACAAATGAAACCCCTCCAGATAGGGAACACTCCGCTGAAAGATCAGTCAATACAGCCTACCTGGAGCAACGCTTACAAAGATCTGGGAGGTTTTGGGCTGGTGATCACGGTCACTCTACCAGTCGTGGTGGGAACGTCTGAGTCAGAGAGAATGGTCACTAAGGTTGCCAATAACAACAGTGTTTCTTTATTAGGTAATATCAGTATGTTAAATCGTTTTTGTACATTTACTTCGATATTTGTATGGTTTCAATTATCGTTATCTAAATTCCAATCTAACATCCTCCAATTTGAACCTGTGTTCGGATAATGCTAATTGTTTTCTACAGAAATCGCTTTCGGGGCTGTATGGGAGCAGGAGAAGTCGCAAACTTCTATCGTGTATCGTATCTGTGAATGTGTTCTGTATTCAGTTACTAACGCATAAATAATACAGGTATCGTGGGACTCGACTTTAAGTCGTCCCGAATAATCCAGATCAGCAGCAGTGTCCTTCCCATCAGTAGTGCGAGTGTGATCATCAACAACAAGGGTTATCCCGTCTACCATCCTAGGATTGACAAGTACAAATACGAAGATGTCAATACCAGGTTCCATAATTTCCGGTGGACTGACGAGAACAAACAGGTTAACATTATTCGGGTTATTTAAATCTCCTATAAGTATAATCTTACAAACTTTTAAATTCGAGTCTTACAATATGAAACAGCACATTATTGTACTTATCTTAGATTAAACGATTGCAGTAACATCCTGTTATTCTCGCAGGATCTAATAGATCTTGAGAAGAGAATGATTGATCACGATCACTTTGTTTTGAAGACAAAAGGATTTCTGACTTATGAGAACCAGAAAAGAGGCTCTGAATGGTACCAGGTGGATAAAGTTATTTTTATTAAGTTATTGTTCCAAATTATCTGTGCACGTGATTTATATAGCCATAATCTACTGTTAACTCCCTTGAATAATGAGTTTTAATAATGTCCGTAAGGTCTGTAGTATTGCACAACATTAACCTATTGTTCGATTCCCTCAGGAGCTCCAATATCAGATCTACCCAGTAACTTCTACACCCTTCAGTATAGCTTGCATCTACCCCACCTACCCTCCAACCTACTTCATGTACAAACTAAAAACCCTAAACGTGGAGGACATCGTTTCAATTCTAAAAAGCAACTGGACTGGCCAAGTTCTTCACAACTTTGACGACAACAGTTGTAACGTTAGGAAGCAACTAGGACAGAACACACGGTAAAGTTGACCTGGACAATTCCACTTGTTCAGCCGTCATTTTCTCGTTGTTTACTGACATATACCTGTCGAGGTACTTTAAGGAAGCCTTCAAGAAATATCCTGCCCCTGCCGAGCAGGCTGAGGATATTCAAATCGGTGGACGGAGTTTCCAGAAGGACGAAATCCTCTCCCATTTCATCATCACCTACACGGGCATGGTGTTCTTCAGTAACCCTAAGTGGAACGGAGCAAACGCAACCACCATGGCCACCCTCACTCCGTACGCTCAAACTGTTAAGAACATCTCGGCAGCGTCACTGTTCATCTCACAACCGTACCGACGAGAGATCTACAACTTCAGATCAGTGAACATCACCCAGCGAGTCAATGTGACAGTAGATGGAGTGTCTAGTCAAGTAGCTGCTGTAGGGATTGAAGTTAGAGTAGAGCTCGTCAGAGAAAAGCTTCTTGGGGGCCACGATGATGATTTGGATCGATTTCTAGTCGATGAAAACGGGGAGATTATCATGGGATATAACAATGAGCGAGGAAGTGAAGATATGGGGGACCAAGCGGGGCATTTAGGAGAGCACCATCCTTATCTTCTTAAAGAACTTATAAAAAGAAGGATTTTTAACGTCGTAAATTATACAGAGTGTATAAACGAGTGTAAAGAGACGGTAACTGAGCATGAAGGTCACCATGGCAGTAACGGAGCATGCACTTTTAAACCTATTTTATATAACCTATTAGCAGTTCTGATGAACTTTTTAACTAACCTTAAGCTGCTCTTCTACTTTGACTACTTTTTAACAGACGTTGAAGCAAACCACATCGTGAAGGAAAAAACCGTGGAATGCTGCAGGATGTTTAATCTGTACCAGAGGAATTTTCAGTACCAAGACACTCACGGCACCTGGATCAATGGTGACGGCCCCAACGGGTGTCAGTCCCACTACGAGGTGTCAAACGTTCCCAGTACAAACCTCCTGTTAGTAGTGGACCATAGTCCGGGCTGCAAACCCGTGTCCGAGCAGATAACACCATATCGAGGGGTCCGAGTGTATCACCATCAGGGCTGCCAAGAGGGTCACGAAGACCATGATGTTCCCAACACGGACGCTATGGCTAGTTTAATTAATCACTATTATCGTAATTTTAAAACGTGTATCGTAAGTTATACTGACGAGGGCATGTGCAGTCATTGCCAATTGCTTATAGGTTCTCCCTTTCTAATAATTTCAGCTGTTTTGCGTTCAGTACTTTTTTGGTGCTAGCAGTACCACTTCCATAATTTAGATTAAACGAGTATTTTTTACATTTTTGTTATATGAGGAGGGTAATCTTTAAACGTTCCACTTGGGAAGTAAAAGTGTGCTGCCGATATCCGATTTGACCTTAGAATCTCATTCTCCTGGAATTACCACACACCACAGTAGCTTTTCCCCAGATTGTCTGTATTTTTAGTCCAATGTTGATTGAATTAACATTTAAACAGATTTTTAATTTTTCCCGGTGAATATGAAAAATCTGTACCTTTGGACTTTGGAGAAATACTGCTCAAGTAACAGTAAACTTCTTATTATCGTGTAGAAGTAACACAAACCCCTTAAAGTTAAACTGTTTACGTCATATTATGTGAACGATCCCTTTATCCAAAACAGTCAATAAAAATGTCAAAAGACCTTTACCGATGAATTTTGTAATTGTACTTTAATATCACACAATAAAGCAGAAAATAACATGTACTGTAAAACTTTACGGCACCCACCTCTCACTCCAATAAACTGCATATTATATTAGATTGATTTTTTGAAACACGAAAGCTTGATCAGATCTCCCAGGCCAGATACATTTACAAAGCATAAACTAACGATTGTGATGGATATTTTTTGATGCGATAAAAACTGACTATCAAAAATACTATTACCTTCCTTCCTGTAACCACGGGGCCACGAGCTTTTTAGGTATGTAATAATAATAAAATTTACGGCATGCCTATCGCCACTCGGAATTGTTAAATCCTTTCTCCGCTAGGATTAGCGCTCGGATCCGATAGGTTTTACATTTCCTATTGGGTCCGAGAGCAAATCCTATCGCCTCTCGGAACTTAAACTTACATATCCTATCGGCGCCCACCCTGGCATTCTGCCATATCTTCATTATGTTTTTGAACACTGATGCCTGGTCAGATCCCCGGCCAGGTAAATAACTTTCAATCAGTATTTCTGAGGAGTAAATAATCGTTTATTAGGCGATTGCTTGGCTTTGATGTTAACGTTAACTTGTTGATGTTCTGAGAAAACATGTCTGGAGTCCCATGTTGAGATTAACTGATCTTATCAAGTTTGTTTTCTGGAGTCGACTCAGTGAAAAGCATAATACTAGGGATTTGAAAATAAAATCGAACTTTTAATAATAGCATATCTGTATCTCAAACTATTTGTTACATAAGCATAGCAGTGTTGTTAATAGTTTTAATCCCTTATATTCTGCTTCTATTTCTAAGTCGACTCCAGAAGACGAACTCGGCTACATTTAATTTGTTAAGTACCACATCCTACTTCAACTTGCAATTGTACCAAGATTCCTCAAATGTTGTATAACCCTTAACGGGTGATACTCGTAAAATATTTGTTTCAGGACCGTCGACGAGTCCAACTCGGCGCGCGTCTTGGTAGGTTATAAACCTACACTATAACCCCCAACTTCCGCCCAGTTTACATCAGCCCATGTAGTACATAGTATGCCTCTGGGGCCGTAGCATCTTCATCTTGGGTTCGCACTTCGCAGTCCAGAGGGACCTAATAAAATTTTGATTCTGTAGAATATACATCATATTTGTAGCTCGATGCACTACTGGGTCGCGCCGCGCATCTTCTCACAACCACGAGATGCGAAGGATCGGATTGACAATTGACATCGTGAATCATACATCATATTTACAATTTAAATTGCAACCTCGATTTGAACTCGAAGGCCCAGCTTAATGATACCAGATACAGGATAAAAATTAATGAGAGCTTTTTATTAGCAGTAGTAAACACATAAATCAAAATTATTGACACTTTACGTACCTCATTAATAATAATTTATACATTATAATAAACGTTCATCACATGTAAAATTGATAATTAGACTTCATACATGATACGCGTACTTACTTGTAAGTGCTTGATTAGGTCTCCTCAATCATTCGAGTGGCCTGCACCAATGAACTCCCGTTTGTGACGTATCATCTCCCTCCAAAGTCTGCAGTCACTAGCCATCTCGCTCGCTCCTTCTAAGTGTATGTCAGTGTTTCCTGTAAACGCTGCAGCATCTTCCAGCAAACATTTTATCCAGTTCTTTCTTGGACGGCCCCTAGATCTTTTCCCATGCGCAGGGGTCCAGTTAAGCAGGTATTTAGGAAGTCTAGTGTCTGGCATTCTCAATTCTGGTGACATGATACGCGTACGAAGCTGAAGTCTAATTGTCAATTTTACCCAATACTGCCATAACTATAACTATAAGTATAAGTAATTAGGTGCGCACTTATAGTAATTGTATTTGCACAGAAAGCACATCCGATTTGATACGTATGAAATATTTGTATCACGTCGTGACCCCCATCGTCGTTTCACTATAGTGGATTTTTTTCATTATAGAGTGTGGAGTGGTTGCGAGAAGATGCGAGGTTGCGAGAAGATGCGCGGCGCGGCCCAGTAGCGCATAGTGCAGTGCTACAAAGTTTTTCACTATAGTAGAGTTTCACTATTATATAGTAGAGTTTCACTATAGTAGAGTTTCTACGACGCGATACAGCGGGGAGCCGCGCACTCGTGCGCGGCGGGTCATACAGCGTATGACAATGAAATGGTTTTTCATTTTGCTTCATTATTTATAGCATTATTTTGAAATCGTTTCTACGATACAGGGGAGCCGCGCACTCGTGCGCGGCGGATCATACAACGTATGACAACGTTTTAATTGAGTTTTTATTTGTTATGTGTGTTCATTGTCAATTGTAGCGCGATGCGTTACTGTGCCGCGCCGCGCACTCAATGAGGCTTCTCTCGCTAGATCGGCGAGATGCGCTACTGTGCCGCGCCGAGCTGCGATGAATTGACATCCTTAATTAAGTATGTTCATATTGTATCACGTCGTGACCCCCACGGTCGTTTCACTACGATACAGGGGAGCCGCGCACTCGTGCGCGGCGGGTTATATATATATTATAATGCACGAATAGTGCATGAGTGCTGAGTTCCGCGCGAAAAGAATTATACAACATGTATCAAGTTGATTCGCAACTCATCGACGATGTTAGTATTTGATAAAAATATTGTACGGGTAGGGTACGGTGTACGAGAAGGAGCCTTACGAAGAAAATATATGCTTTTTAAATAAATATATACTTTTTCAAAAAACATTTTATTTTTTTAAAAAACATATATACTTTTTCAAAAAACATATGTTTTTTGGAACGTATATATTTGCGCTAAAACAAAGGCCCCTTCTCGAACATGGCGTGTACGAGAAGGTGCCTTGCGAAAACATATATTTTTCGTAAGGCCCCTTGTTGAACATGGCGTGTACGAGTGATAAAGCGTTCTTGGTTCTTATTCCTGGAAATTTCCTTCGATCATTATCAAGTCAATTAGAAGATCATCAAGACGCTTATACTCGCTAAAAATAAAATTAATTTTCTTCCCACATCAAAAATCATTTGATGTGGTCTGATATCATCATATGTAACACCCTGAATCGATATTTCTGCGACATGGTCATGAGAAAGTTTCAAAAACCAGGTTTTAGTGGTTTACAGGAAACATTATGTATTTAAATGTAAATTACAATTTTTTAAATCGCTAATTTGTTTATGGCAAAAGAACAAAATTTGAAATTTAAGTTGTTGTTACCTGGCACGCCAATCCCAATGCGCGGCGTTCTTTTAGAGCTTCTATCATGAGAGGAGCGAGCAGTATACTAGCAAGTTACGCTAAGTTGTATGTTGGGGCCGGGCATGTTTTAATTAACCCAGTTTGTTGGTTTATCTTTCACTTCTAGAATGCATGCGGAGATAATGTCGCGCCGGGTAAGCTTTATAAATGGATTTAAACTTAAAGCAGGATACAATTTTGAATTAGTACATTTCTTTCAATTTCATTGATACAATTGATAGTAGACGGTAAAAATGAAAATTTATTAATGTGTTTTATCTGACACAAAAATTGGATTTTATTGGATAACACTCCATACAACGATCGTTGAAGCCATTTGGGGAAAATGATATGTTTATAGTATTATTGATAATACGTATATAATATACTAGAAACCCGCTAGTCGAAAGCTTTGTTCGAGGAAATTTTAAAAATCAGTTATGTTTTAATTTCTCTTCATCATACAGCTCTGTTATAATACAGTAGACATAATGAAATTTATCTAACAATGGCGACAGCGTTGTTAGTATTCGGATTCCCAAAACGATACTTTTTACCGCATCAAAAAATACCAATCACAACCAAAGTTATGAATATAAGTCATAGCGTGAGCGTAAATGTGAGCTAGTTTTGAAGTTATGACGTAGCATACAGCATAACAACGCGCGTAGTTAAGATGTTATTGCTCGCGCACGTGCATTTTAACGTTGCTACGCAACAGCGCAATAAACTTTTGCTAAAATAACGACATTATTCTAACGGTTATTTTACCTCACTTCCGACGTTAATTATAAAAAATCTAAAGCCTAAATCAAAATTCTAAGAATGCTATAGCCTATTCCTATCCTTTTTCTACAACCCTGCTAAAAATGGCGAGGTTTCAACTCCATTTGCGAGCTGGGTTTGGCATCACCAGAGGGTCATTTTGAGGTCGATTTTCGGTGTTTTTTCTTCTATGTCCCCGTTGCCGGGGAAATTTCGTCAAGTTTAAAATATAATATAGATAACATCGCTTTAACCACACAAACGCAAACCACAAACCAGAGCACTTTTGCGCTGCAGTATGCAGTCCACAGGCGCTCGCGTCACTTGCTACACGCGCCTTTCACTTCCCATGTGCCCTGGATTCAGTTCTAAAAGTAGTGCTGTGCATTTTCTTTTCCAATTATGTGAATTCCATCCAAAGTTCTTAATCCATCTTCCATTCTTGTCACTTTTCCACTGACTGATTTGATTTGATCAGGACGTGCCATTGCTTAACTTTATGCTACCACTTGTTTACTTACTACCGCTTATTACCACCGCTTATTACTACCGCTTGATACTTTTCTGTTGTTATTCTAGGAATCTGTAAAGCAATGAAACAACGTTCAACTAATGCAATGTAACTACAAAAACCCCACAGACAAGCATGATATGGTATGGTATATACTGAAACAATGAACGATTAGGATATATAAACTTTCATAGATATAATTACCAGATATACACCTATTCATATGTATGCGTAAGCACATGGGCAGGTGAACGTATAACTCTACAGATTGTAATATATTGTATGACACTGACCTAT